CTCTAGCACAGTGGAACAATTGGGACATTCAGTGTGAGACTCTAGCCAACTTTCAAGACATGTTTTGTGAAAAATGTGTTTACAGTTTGTAATAAAACATGACTGCGTATTTGTCATTAACTGACAACAAATATTGCAATTCCTTGCGGCAGTATCCGCTGAGGATTGCGCATTTTGGGGACTATGTTCAATAGGCATAATACTTTTCAATATATTTTTCTGATATATGACATTTTTGGTTGACATAATAACTAGAACAAAAATCAACTAGACATTATTCAAGTGCAAGAAGTAGTGTGTTTTTTTTTTTTTTTTTTTTTTTTTTTTTTTTTTTTTATATGGGCTATTGCATTTATAAAAAGATAAATAAAACGTGCTATGTATGTACCCTTTCAATTGACCGCCCTTGCTCGGTAGCGATATGCCGAAGCAGCATGATACATCTATTCCAGAAACAAAGGGAGTCCAATATCACCAGATAAACACTAACAACCATTTATCAATCTTACGATCCGAAAGGAAGGTGACGCAATTTAATATCTACTAAACTTTTGAATACCTGATCAATGAAAAGGCTCTCACAGTGACAATCGGCAGGGTATCCAATCTTAGCTGAATACGCAAGATTCCAGAAAGTATACGATAGTATTTCAAAACTCAAAATGCTCAAAATCTAGACAAAATCAAAAAGCAATCGAAAACAAAACGAGCTAAAACTCCGAAGCAGTGTGATAGCGATGTTATTCTATCTGTTTAGGATTTTACAACTCGAATTTGATTAAGTCAATACACAACAAAATAAACGTCGGCAAGGCATCCGATCGCACTCAAATACCAGGTTCCAGTACGTATATTCTGAAGTATTGAAACGTAATCACAACTCTTAAAGAACATTATGTTGTGCCAGGTAACACATACGTGCCATCAGTCATAATGAACTCTATATTGCAAAATACAGCTTCGAAAAATTTGGGAGGAGTTACTACTGCGCATAAATGGACTTCACTTCAATTATGTTCTTAATCCATCGTACCCTTATTTATTCACATGCAGCAGCCGCCACACATGTTGTGGTCTAAATGTATGTAACTTTTGTTATTCACAAGCAGTAGCAGCCCCACGTGTTGGGCGCCAAAAATTTATGTAATAAACTAATCATTGCTGTAAAACGCTATCTAGTTTTGCCCCACGTTGGGCGCCAAAAATTTATGTAATAAACTAATCATTGCTGTAAAACGCTATCTAGTTTTGCCCCACGTTGGGCGCCAAAAATTTATGTAATAAACTACTCATTGAAGTATCCTGGCTAGATGTAAAAACAACAAAAACCAGATAGCGTGAGCCGACGGTGTCACAGCGGAGGTCGGGACCCTTTGATACCCTAGCTCTTTCGGGGTGGGGTGGGTTTGCTGTGTCCTGAAGACTCTAAGTACATAAATTAAATTATTATAGAGTCCCTGCTGAAACTAAATTTTGGAAGGCCTACTTCCAACAAAACAACTAAAACAAATCAAAGGCCAATTAAATGGGAGAGGGAAACTGACGGTACAAGTGATAGCTTCTTGCATCAGAAAATATGTCTAGCTATTTTGCGAGATCTTGAGATGGAAGTCGATGCTCGCGTTCTATACCCACCCAACCATGGAGCTCCAATGCGAGTATTGTTTATGGAGTTCCCCTAAAGTAAATGTTCTAGCTAGTTTTACGTCACCATGTCACCAGAAAATAAAACTTTACTAATTCATTTTAAACAAAATTTAATAATACGCATGATTAATTATAAAGATATACATTGTCGAGCAAACAAATTATAAATCTATTAGCAGGATAAATTCTTATGACAATGCAAACATAATAGGTATAATTCATTGAAGAAACTTATTTAGTATGAGTAAAAAAAAAAATACAAATTTAAGCCAAGTAGTTATTTATATATATAATTCAAAGAACATAGGCTGAATATTTTATAGTCTAAAAAAAATTGGAAAAATTTATTGTGAAATCAGAAAGTGTGTGTGCATATACGCTTAATGTTATTTATTCTCATGTTATTCTTTATGTGTTAAAGTAACGTCGATTCAAAATTTAGCTACCCGAATCAGCAGCAGTTTATTTAAAGGCAATTAAATGAAAAAAAACAAAACTAAACTAAAAGCTCACATGAGTGATAGTGAGGTAGGTCAGTGCTGCAGATCAGCGCATTCTTTGCGGGTTCATTGACCTCCGCATTTTAAGTTATTGTCATATGTTCTCTCAAAGGCATATTAGTATAAGAGAAAAAGTTAGTATAAGACGAAAGTAAATTGACATGCGATAACTGTCGAGCAAAAGCTCTGTACTAAAATTGATATGTATGCATGTATCACATTATATCAATTTAACTTCGGCTTACAAACGAGATAAGAGACAAAAGCAATAGCAATGATAAATACAGACTTACGTACAGACTCCAGCGATGAAGGGCCCTCCAGCGAGGTGTAGTCGTTGTTTTATGTACAGATTCATTCAATGCACATACATTTATATGCAAATGCATATTTATATGGTGTGTTATTATATGGATGGGTTAATTTTGGGCTTATTTAAATTGGTCTTATTTATCTCGAGGCATATTTTTTTCGGGTTCATTTTCGTTTGCTATTATGATATATATTTGTACACATGCCTTTTCGAGAATTTATTTCGGTTTAAGCTTGTATGCACTGATCTTGGGCACGAAAAAAAACAATAGCAAAAAAAATTAAATGCACATGTCTGCTAAAAAAACTGTACCTATTGGTACATATAAGTATATGCACTATATTGGGTTTTAAGGCATTTCCCTTTCGAGGCACTGTACACACACTCTCTTCAATTGTGAAACTGTGATTTTCAAACTTAGACACTATATAGGCTCTTTTTGTGAGCAGTAACACATTTTATGTAGTTAACGCTGAGGTGGTGGTGGCGGCAATGGTTTCTACGGCAGAGGGAAGTCGGCGGTGGTCAGGTTGGGCTAATGACGTTTCGACACCCAGAGCAAAAAGATATATCCCGCATGTTCGCAAGCTCCTTTTTGGAAGACGGACTGGTAGCATACGGCAATTCACTTTGCCGGTTGGAACCAAATGTTTCGTCCAAGTGTAAACAACGACTGCGGTTTGAATTCCACCGGGAAATAACCCTTATGTCGAAGTTATTTGATTCGGCTGCACCCAATACAGCAGCGACAAGGGGTTAGTCGCAAATCTCGTGACGGATGCGCACCGATTACTTGGCAGCGCCCTTAATAGGCAGTTGCCCACAGGCGGAAAATGCCATAAAGATTGGGGGGGGTCTTCAAATCGTCTCCAGCCGCACGGTTTTACACTCGATGAAGGTCCAGGTTAACGTGGACAAAATCTTAGGGTTCGAGAGTGTCACGCCGTTTTCCTTTTGGGCCAGTGAATAACACCCAAAACACGTGTTAGGCGTAGCTGACGGACGTGGCTACTTTGTAGAACTTGGCCATCCAAAAGTTAATGCACAAAAGAGGTCGGTTTTAGCTAGATCAGGCCTTTTATAACACCTCATTCCAGGGAACTACTGAAGTGCGTAAAGTTAGGTGCGCTTTACATTCCAACCAAAACCCAGAGTTGTACTAACTAAAGCTTTCAGAGTAATACAGCTGATAGGGGCCTGAAGCTTTGGGACAAATATTAGCCCTTTTTATCGCAAGTGCTAATTTTGTAGCACCGAGCTGCGATAAAAGTAACATTAATTTTATTTTAATGCAGGCGACCATTACAGAAGTAAACTGAAATAGAATTGTATCCATTGAAACATTTTTCAATTAGAAAAAATATTCTGCTGCGGATGTTTCGTAGAACACCAAAGTAAATACCCAAAGTAAATTGCACCTTTCTGTAAAGCACCGAGTACCAAAACAGAATGCAAGAAAAAACCCAAAATCATTGCAGACACGGATTAAACATTCAAAGAGACAACCATCTACTCACAAACGGATTGGCATTCAAGCCGTTAAAGATATTAGCCACAAAAACTGTAACCAACATTTCGTTCTTTTTTCTTTATTTGGATTAGCCCTTACAGCCATGCCGGCGGATTATTGGCGCCGACAGTCGCTGCAATTTATGCTGCCACGAGGGCCTTGTCGTCGATAGAACTTTTATTTACTTACTCCTCTCCAAGTCTCCTTCTCGTCTCGTCTCTTCTCTTCCCATTCCCCTTCCCATTCCCAGCGTGTGCCAAACATGGCAATTGTTTGCCGAACTGCGAGCGACGGCACGCGACCCACATGCATGCAAGTATAAACATTTCACGGTGCACAACATACATATCTGAGATATTTTTATGGCCAACGTGCGCTGGCAGCGTTCCATGACATCCATACGCGGATACGGATATGCACGACTGTAAAAAACTGTATCTGCGCATTGCTCTTATCTCTACATAATCCACTTCATACTTTCACTGTACCGCGGAAATTGAAAATAAACATTAACTCTTGTTACCGCGATTACTTACGTTTAAAAAATAGGTTCGTACCGGGACCTGAATAAATAAAATAGCTGAGCGATAATCTTTTGTGAAACAATGGAGATTTCACGCCCACGGGTTTTATTAGCGTCCCAGCAATTATTCAAAGCATTTAGTTTATTTGAATTGAAACAATAACAACTGATATTGGATCGTGATAGTGGATCGTGTTTATTCACAAATTATTTTAATTTAAAAATGGTTTTACAAAAGGTTCATTGAAAAACGAAAATATTCTAATGTTAGCTATATTTTAATTAAAAAATACCTAACTATTAAATTAACTAAAGTATTTATAATTTATTTTAAAATGTAAACATTTTGAATCCCCTAAGGCTTTCAGGCTTTTATGAAATATATGGGAACTATCGTCTTAGCTCAGAACACATTTTCAAATTTTCTCCCATCTTTAGACACTTGGAATGCCCTGCCATGAACTTCAGTTATAGGTCTGGTGGAAAATGTTTCGTACTAAAACTACACAAAGCTCTTCCAAATTCCAAAATGCGTGCGTGCAAAAGCAACGTATTGAAAACAAGAACGAAAACGCGACTAAGAATCGATCCTCAAATAGTGCTACCAGAATGACTGCGGCGCTAAGACGAAGTACGGAAGAGCGTCCAGGAGCACATATCAGTCGAATATTGAGTGCCACAAGGACACAGCATCAGATAGCGCCAAACTCAGCGCCCATTGCTGCGGCTAAGAAGTCCCCCAGAAATAAAGTTCTGCCAGAGGTGAAGCGCGATACGCTCGTCAACTCCTCAGCTGCTTCCAAGTCCAAGTCACACATGCGCAGCAAGGCAGCAGCAGTAGTTGCAACAAAATCTGTTTCGACCACAACAGCAACATCGAAGCCAGTACCCAAGTGGAATTGTGTTTCCTCGTACCAGCGGCGTAGTCGAAGCCGCCGTGCAGCCGCATCCTGCGCCTTCGATTACGATCTGTCTCAGGTGGAGCAGCGCAACTTCGGCCACTGCCATCATGCGATGAAGTCTGTGCCAGATGCCGAGTTGCAGCTGCTGCGGAGCGGGCAACGTGCCACGTATCTAGAAACGCGCTATGAGCGCTGTCCCGAGCTCAAATACCACTACCCGGAGGCGACCAGCTGGCGCTATGGCTGGTTCCACAACCAGTGCCGGGGCGATGCGAGTAAATTAACGCCCAATCATTGCATTACCTCTATAATGTAAAGTTTGTGGCCTCCATTTACTATTAAATTTTAAATTGTTCTCTTCTGCATAATTTGCAGAGTTGTCTTTTCTGATAAGCCCAACTAACTAAATGAAATTTAATTTATGAAGAGCTGTCTGACAGCCCAATTGCTTTGGTTTCACAAGCCGAAGCGTCTCGCCTCTCTCACTGTCCTGTTACTGCAAATGGAAACTCCTGCAACCGGCATCAAATTCCATATATACATATATATACACGTACATTCATATATGCTTGTGGATCTTGTGCTATTTTGTTATTCATAACATTTCGGTCGCCTGACAAAACACATGCCATGCGGGCTAAGCTAGCAACCGGACTCTTCAACCGTATTTCTCTTAAACAAACAGCCACTATTATACTTATAGCGGCTTAAACAGGAATGCTTCCAGCAGAAAATAGTTGATAATTCCATTACAATTAACAGGTTTCTTCTTCATTAAAACTACGAAATGCCAGATCTTAAATATCTTGTATACTAAGAGTCATATGTTTATGAACAGTTGCAATAGCATGCGTAAAAGTGAATTTGGTGTTATTCTTAGCACTCGACTCAAGAATTACTAACTGTCCCTCGTACGTGCGGCTCGACCGGCTCGACCGGCTCGACCCTTCACCGAGACCTAAGCCTGTTCACCGTGGAGGAGCAGATTGGAAGGCACACAAGTAGACAAGTAGTGACAAGCTACTGAGGTACCGCAGTTTGCTTGCAAGAGGACTCCTTCCTGCCAGACCTTTGCGAAGGCTAAAACGATTAGGATTTGTCAAAACAATTACATACGCATAAGCCACCCCTTACTTATTAATCCTGGCGCGAAAGTGCCCGAGGTTAGACTATTTATATTTGTTAACATGTATTGTCAATGCTTATATTAAAGATAGAAAAAAAAGACACTCGACTCAAGCATTCCATTCCTAATTTCAATTAAGATACTTCAAATTATATTAAGTGCATTCTATTTATTTAATTTTTTGTAACAGATGATTTATATTTGCAATCTGTCCGATTGGACAATCAGTAAATTCCAATGGGAGAACATTGGCATTAGGATTTTGTATTATGTGGGACTTAGTAGGGTGGTGGGCTGATATGGGTGCGGAATTTTAGTTTGTGCGATGAGGAAGGTGCTATATTCTTGGACGACGGGTGGAGGTGCTGTTGTCTAGCAGGTTAATGGCGAGGGGATTGGTGTGCCTGTCCAGTCGGTTTACGTGGGCTCTGCTCAGCTGGTAAGCCCATGGGACTTCGAGCTCGTTATTTATTTAAAATGAAATTTATTCTAATGCCTAGTAATTAAGTAATTTATTAAGGTAATTCAGTAGTGTTCTCCATTTAAAATCAGTTGAAATATATGTATGCATGCATTCCAATGATTCCACACACGATATGTGCGCAAATAGTAAATATTTAAAGCAAACAAACTTAGCTGATTTTATTTATACTGAAATAAAAACAAACACGGAAAAATAGGATTTAAATGTGCACTGCTTGTGGCCGTAAAATGTGGGTAGAAATCATCAAAATGCTGTATATATACATATGTATTTATATGAGTTTTGTGGGTCTCAATGGACATATACATACTAGGTACATCGGACCCTGTTGACTGTTGCGTTTTCTGTTAAGCACACGAGTTCTCTTGATTTATTTTCCCCTTTTAGGCATTTTTGAAAATTTTGTTTTCGCAACAGCTGTTGTTTCTGCGCCGCCCACTCGTTTCGCTTGTCTGATTGCAAAACACACGAGAAATTGCATAAAGCAACGGCTGCTGTCATCTTATATGCATGTATGTATATAAGTAGCATGTGTGGGTATGTGGGTGGATGTGTGTATGATGTGCTGTCCAACGCGGCGGATGCGTGTTGTGTTATGCTTGGCAAAATATTGCGCCTGGCATTCAAAGTGCTTTGCAAAAACTTGCCACAATAACTTTACCAACTTGCATTTTGTTTGCGGTGGTTGTTGTTGTTTGTATGCGACAGATGTGGGCGTTGTGGGCGTAAGAGGCGTTAAGGGCGTTGGGAGTGTTGGGGGCGTGGCGCTGACTATGCAGCTTTTGATTGACTCATGAAAGTCCAAAGTTTTTAATTGTTTTGCAACATTTCTGGCAATACGAGTATGCAGTGAATTTCTTAAAGCAAGTCGGCGCTTCGTTTAATTACCGCAGAGTTTGCCGCAGCGACACAGACACTTTAGAAGTAGCATTTGTATTAGGTATGTATCAGAGAACTGCATGAGTGCCTATTTTTGTGACTCTAAGTATACTTACTGAAAAAGCGGTTGCGGTGTGATCGCCACCGCATACTATTTTGTCAATTCAGTGACATACTCAAAAGGCATTTTTGTATTGGTATGACTGGATCACTTTCGTACTCGATCATGGGTGTATGCGGTTTCTGCTTTACTTTTTCATCGCACATTCTTGTTGTCGTTTTCTGCAATCGTACTTATACTCATACGCGCACAATACAAATATTGCGTGCGCAAGAAACGATGAGAGAAGAGTTGACAAAATCAATGTGATGATTAGCAAAGCAAAGACCGGGTACTGCAAACACCGCATATGAAAATCGAAGCGAAGCAAAGACCAAGTACTGAAAACAACGCATGTGCATAACGGCGTTTTTTTATGTATGCTCATAATGCACTGTAAATTATTTGTTTCTGCATTCTGCTTCATATGGAAGGGTATAGTTAATTGCTGCATAAGCCTCATTAGTGTTGAATCGATCATAGATGATCGTATTCATAAGAGCAAAAAAATGAATTAAATAAATCCTTTTAATTTTGTACACATCTTTTTTTTACCTTGCCTTGTTTATGTTTGTATTCTTAGCGATATAGCCAAAACAAAATCGTAGCGGAATATGTACAGTGTACACACAAAAGAACATACATACATGTTCTACTACATACATATGTACATACGTGTAAACACATGTGCACTGAATATCCAAGGTCAACATCGCAAATTATACTTTCATAAGTACAAGTATTGCAGGCACCGCATCTGAATTGATGGTGCAGAGCGAACACTCAAAAAGACAGAGTAAAAAAATTGCCGAGTGCGAGAAAACCCAATACTCAATTGATCGCAAACATTTGGTGGTGGTTTTTACTCTCACAAGTTTCTTTGCAATCACCAACCGCATAAGTACAAAAATGAGTGAAGAGGATAGCGAAAAGTCTTGTTGTGATTGCATTGATCTAAGTATAAGAAGGCCATGAGTATAATCAACACCGCATCATTTTTTATGCGGTGTTTTGTGTGATCGTGAGTGAAATATTCTAAGTAGGTATGCGGTGTACTTATTGTTGCGGTGCACCGCTGCAGTTCTCTGGTATGTATGTATGTATGTGTTTACAAATTTACAACTTTAACTGAATTTTCACAAATCCGTGATGCAACATTTTAAATTTGTTTTGTCTTCGTTCCGATTGTTTACAATTCATGACGGCTTTCAAATTTCATTGCCTCGTTCCGAGCTTGGAACAAGCTGTTGGCCGTTGATTTTGTTGCATTTGGTGGCAAACAGCTGGCGCAGAAGGTGCAGCCCACTTCCTCTTTTCCTTTCCCATCGCCGGCACTGAGTGAAAACTTCTTCTTCGACTAAGTCTCAGACACTTGAAGCTGTTTTGTTAAGTTGTTGGATGTCTGACTCGTTCAAGTGGCGGGCTTTTTGTGACTCTCTCGTACTCATTCTCGCCCTCTATTTTTCTGGGCTCCGTGGCTTTGCGTGATTGCAAACAAGAATTCTCATTTGGCTTGTAGCTCCCCGCGGAACTAAAGTTTATTATTGTTTGCTGAAATGTACATATTTGGCTTGGTTTTCGACTTTTTGTGCTTCTATTTACCTTTAAATAAATTTCATGTTATTTTTCTGGCTCCGCTCTGTGCTTATTTGAGTTTTATTTGTTTTCGATTTCATTGGGCAGCCCCAGACAAACACTCTTCTTTATATATATGTACATACAAGTATATCTGTAGTTCACTAAGTGTAAGTGTACTATGCCTGACTTACATTGCCAACATATGATTGAACAACGCTCCGTGTTTTTAATGAGTACCATATAGTGTGTTAATTAGCTACAATACTTGTAATCTGAGGCCAGGTTTCAATTGCTTGGAATATATTTTTTTGCCATATTATACGTATTTTTGAATATCTATATATGACTGGTCATGCGAATTGCTTTTGATTGTATTTCTGGTTCACAACAGCGTTCAAAAACCGCACAGAATTTACACTTGACCTCAAAAGCCATATTTTACATTCTTCCCCTCGTTCAAGCATCTCCTCTTGCCAACTAACTATTCGATTGCTTAACTTTCAAGAATTTATGGCGCAGTAAGGTTTTGCATTTTTGCACATTTTGTGGTAAATTTTATTATTTTGTGGCCATTGCTATAATTCTGAAATTATTTTGTTTTCATCGGTTTTGGCAATTGCTCAAAAATTAGTCAGTTGAGTTGTCGGTTCATTGTTTGCACCGGACGAGATTGATAGAGTTGGTTATTGAGGTTTCCAGTAGGAAAAACAGGGAGTGGTCTTCTCCGCCCAACAGCAATTTGAAAAAGTGTTCGAGCAATTTCTGCAAATCTCAATGCACTTGCAATCTTTGCTTATTAATTGATGAGTTCTGAAATGTTTTATTTAGTGTGATTTGTAAAATGTATAACCCATTCCCCATCTTTAGGTTACTAAGTACATACTAAACAAAAATAGTTTTATGAATAATCATTTAATTTCGAATTAAACTCCATTTGAGAAACAACTGCCCTGTACTATGGAATTTTGTTATTATGTTATAGAAGCTTACTGTAAGATTTAACAATAGCTTCATTTAATTTAAGCAATAATTTAATATAAGCAGCGTCAGCCTTCGTATCTCTAATATCCTGGTAATATGGAAGCAAAAATGTATTTCTTTAATAAATAACTTGTGGCCTAGTTTAGTTAATTTAAGCCAACTAAAAAATATTTACTTTGAATAACAGTTAATTAAATTGACTTTTTGAATCCGCTTAATTCCACGCCCAACGACATCAACTATGATCGGACCAAGTATTCAAAAGTTATAAGCAAATTTGTTTCATTTTATGTTGCTATTATTCATAATGTGGCTTTACGAGTTAGTGTTCGTTCTTTTCGATTTTGTTTTATACATCAAAAGAAATAAAATAATATAAAATTTGGTAGATAATTAAAAATGGTTAGTCTTACGCGTAGGGGGGAAAGAACTTTCCTTGTTTTACGATTCAGTAACTATGTAAGGAATAAGTATTGCCTTTTCTAATTACCTATGAAAATAGTAGGTCCTGATTTTTGAGAATTTCGAGAAAGTTAAACTTGATCAGAAGGCTTCAAAAGTCCTTTCTGGATATTTAAACACGCCATGGAAAAGACAGGATCTTGAGTTACAATTAGATTCAATTATTCCACAACCCCCTTCTCGAAGATGAGAATTATAATTCCTGCCATATTAGTTACTTATACAATAGCTAATAAAAGTTTCACAAATATTATGTTACTATGACAGCGTTTTTAAACGTATCTTATGTTACAGTTTTTCTACAATCTTTTTTTATATTTCGAAATGAAACATTCTTAACAAGTGCTATTTCAGCTATGTTTATACTGTCCTGTGACTGGGGGACGCCAATACGGTGAGAACCACGTTCAAATGATAATCCATCTTATTCTGGAACAAGATTGACGAAATTAGTTAATAACCGGATTGGAGGCGTCATTGCGGAAGTTTGAGAGCGGCCTTCTCTTAGCTGTGGGTGTCAACGTTCATAAAGCCGGAAATTCTGGGTGTGCCATGAAACGGCCAGCATAGAGGCCAGTAAGCATTGTAGCAAAGATGTCAGCAAAAACAGACAGACGAGCGTTAAATAAATATTAGTTTTTAATCTGAAGGGCAATCGTTCAAATTTATACGTTAATTAATTTCATTTTTAAAACACTCTCAGATCATAAAACATAAACTATTATATATAAGTAGTAATACCAACTATTAAGTCCCAGGCCAAAATGTTAAAAAATCCAGTTTTTTTTATAGAAACGTTCGAGTCCTTTTCAAAAGAGGGCGCCATTGGCACATATAAAAACTTCAATTAAGTTTTTGAACCATTTCAGTATGGTATTTATTTGTACAACTAGTTACATTGATCTGGCAACACCAGTGCTTAAATCTAGTGGTAGCTCTACAATACACAACCCTGACAGAAACGAAACACTTACCAACACCAAAGCGCAAACACCCCGCGTCCCGCTTACCTAAATGCCATTATTATTTGTCGAGTTTCATCCGCAGCCACAGTGCAAAGTATGGCCGCACGTTTATAAATTATAATTAAAGCAAGTTTTCAACAACTAATAAGGCTTACTTAATGTCCTAAACTAAAGTTAAATGTTAGTCTAATAAGTTCATCAATTTAATTTAAGTGTTAATGTAGTTTTAAAGTGTTCTTTGTGTAGCTAAAAGTCTCGGTCCCTTAAAAACGATTTCTCGCTGTCGCCGCCACCAGTAAATTCTAATACTTTCTATACATATACATATACACCACACATACACAAACCGATTCGATTCGAGCTGCATTGCCTTTTAATGCGTTTGGCCTTTTACACACAAACAAGTGAAGTACAAAAATACGCTGACAATAAGCGGTAAGTAGAACTATCCTCGTACAAGCGCTGGTCGGCACAACAAATGGTTATGCCACACCGGACAGTGGCGTCGCATATGTGTGCACACAAAGGGGTTAACGAAAATCACAAACTATGCAGTCTCTGCTGTGTGAGTGTTCAGTTCAATGCACGTAAGTGCGGTCCGTCCTTTAGAACTTGATTTCCATATGCAAAACAATTTATTTGAATCAAAAATGCAGCTGCATTTTATCCAATTTCAATGCATATACATAATATGAACATACAGAGATACAAGCACACATTTGAATGCATCGAAATCAAACTACCACAAAAACTAGAAAAGTGCAACAACTTCCACACAAATATATTCACATATGTATATGTTTGTTTGTGTCGCGTTGCATTGCTGCACGTACTATGTACGCATGTGTGTGTGTAAAAGTAGCTATGTGTTTGCATTGCACATTTCTTGCCTGCTCCCTGTTGGTGGTTGATGGTTGCTGCTGCCCCTAAACCCGCCACCAAATCAAAGAGCCTGTCACAATTTGATTTAGGCACAGACAAAAAGACTCATCTTGGGCTGGGTGCATCCATTTACATGTAGTGTCCATCCTGCTACATGTTGTTTCCGATTCCTGTTGAAAGCACACACAATTGGCAAACAATAAGACACCTTTTGCCCCTTTGTGTCGCCAATAAAAATATTGCATTGTGCCGCGCTCTTCTTGTTTGTTTGTTGAACTGAACGTTAACTCTTTTTGCAGCTGCCCGCAGCACTCTGTCAGCCTTCTGTCAACTCCCTCTCCATCGGGAACCTTGGGAGCAATCAGTACAAGATGCAACATCATGTGCATTCGGCCAGACAGACGCCACACGTCCGTGCTGCCCATCATCACAATCACATACCCCTACATCCAGCCATGGCGCCTGCCCTCACACAGGATCAACAGCTTATGGCCAGTCTACCGCCGACAGCGCCTGGAGCGTCAGCTGCGACGGTAGCTCTTGGAGCTCCACAACAGCAACAGACACAGCGGGAACATCACCATGCACGGTACATATACTACATATGTTAAAGGTCAAAACTCTCAAATGAATCGAAAATTGAAATATTGTTAATATTCAATTCACATTTATTTGAAATCTTATTCTCAACACATGAATTCAATTCAATTGAATTAAATATTAAACATTTTATTAAAACCATTTGAATGGCAATTAGAATTAGGACCTAGCAAGTATTTTGCTATACAAGTACGATTATAATAATAATATATTTGACTAGATTGATGAAAATTTGATCAGGAGAAAAAACGTTGCTTGAATTATTCGTTTTATAGTTTTATAAACGTTTTTAGAAATAATTTCAATGAACTTAAATCTATTAGGGATGGGCGAAAGCAAAATTAAAGTTAAACTTTAGCCTAGTGGTTAGTCGTTACCCTTGACAGCATCAAAATCGGCAGCATGTCTAGCTTTATGCGTTTCAGCAATTATGTTAATTCCTGTCACTGACAATCGGTGTGAGACTCATCATCCCATTTTCTCAACTCATAAATTATAATTTCAGTGCACCTTTGTTCTTTCGCACTCAGCATGACTTCCGCTCAATAACGGGTTTCTGGCGACGACGTCGCCTTCGAAGTCTGCGCTGCAATTATCCTTGACGTTGGATCGCTTGCCCATTTACTCATACACTGCGGCATCCAGTTCTGCGTGCCTCGTTTCGTATATTCTCCCCGATATCATATGTTTTGCACCGACGACTTCATAGGAATGAGCTTCTCATCCTCGTTAGTCCTCAGTTCGAATTCAGCTGCGATTGGAATCACACTCGCGTCGCTTGTGTCTGGCGCAGCAACTCGCCGTTATCAGCTTAAACGTGCATTCTCGATCATTTTTGGCAGCATGCCAAAATTAAAACGCAAACTTGCAGGTGAAAGATTATTATCCAAAAAGAAAAAGTTGGGAGAGTTATAAATGCAAAAGAGTGTAGTGCTGAATTGTAAAAGAAAAGTTAAAATAATAATGTAATTTAGTTAAAATATCTCCCCTATTTGATACTTCTATTCTTGATAATAACTTCTATCGAAAATGTCTGCATTTTGAAGCCTGTGTTGATTTGAAATTGGATGCAATTACCCATATCAGTGCTAATTTGATTCCATTCCACAGTTCACTGATCTTGCGATTAAAAAGTGCCAAATTCTCATTGCCTATTGTGAAATTCATAAGTTTATTGGTCAACATGCCGCTGGCATTTGCGCATGCCCAGCTACGAATATCAGGGTGTTGTTGGGTGTAGAGTTTCGGGTGTCGGGGTGCGGTAGGTGCGTCTCAATTGAAACTGACAGTTGGCGAAAAATGACACGATACAAAAAAGAATGCGGCTTTTGTGCTTTGCTACGATTTCCCCTATTGTTCCCACTCGCCGCTGTTGTCAGAAGCTTCGGCCGCGGCAAAAACTCCAACCACAAGGCATAAAGGATCACAAAGCGAAAGGGTGAGATAGGCATGCTGCTGCTGCCGACTGTTTCCTTACGGCTGGGTCTGCTTCTGTCGCTTCTATGGCTATGTTGGTATTTTGATTGTTTGGCTGCCAAATTTTGTTTGCCATGTTCGTACTTATACTACATATACAGAAAAGCGCGTTCAAGTATTTTGTAGTAGGTCTTAAGAATTTTTATGCGCCCAATTTTGTATAAATTGTGTGTGTGTGCCACATTTTGCTCCTCCATAATCCTTTTCACGCCTGATATCTCGCATTGTGCGCGCGTTTTTGTTTACATGCCACAAACTTTGACCGCTGCCTTCTAAGTTGTTTGTCAATATTATCAACCGAATTTGTTGCTTTATTCCTGCGTATACTTGCAGTCTGAGCCATCATCATCATCACACACAGCCGGCAAACGCCAGCACCGCCACCTATCATCACAATACGAATCAAATGCAAAAGATTCGCCAGCAGCATCAGCACCTGAATACCAATAATGGACATGTGAAATGTAATCAGCCAGCTCCGCAGACCTACAACCACATGGCAGCGAATGCTGCGGCACTTTCCTACAATCAAGCCCCACCCTACATGACTGCCCATTTGGGGGGCTATGCTGCGCAGCCGCAGCCCATAATGGGCGGTAAACCGCCCCACTACTACATAAACAATGCCACAAAGCCTTCCAAATACAACAACAACATCAGCCACTACAATGCTAATAGTGTCAACAACAGTTTTACGCATGCGCCCAAAACCATTCTGCAAAACACATATCGCAATGCCAAGACAAATGGCCAAACAGTTCCCGCCTCAGATGTAGTAGTAGCAGCAACAGAGCTTCTTCCGTTAGCAACCACTAGCAATAGCAACAATATTGTCATCACGCCCGACGACAATGCAGCTGGCGAGTTCGTCGAGAAGACTACGACGACGACAACGTCTCTAGAAGCCACGGACACGGCTGCTGCTTCGGCGCTTCAAACTCCAAACGAGGACAACATCAGCAGCAGCTCGGAACACATCGATGCAGCTGGCAATTTACCCAACGAGGACAACAGCACTTCACGCAGCTCCAAGGATAAAACGCCCATGTGTTTGGTTAATGAGTTAGCGCGATACAACAAGGTGAGAGGAATAGTAGCGAGTCATAGGCTTCTATAACTATTACTAATTGGTGTAGCTCCTGTGGATTAACCAAAAAATTATAAAACCAATAATCTAAATAAACCAATAAATTGGTATTTAAAATTGCTTAGAGGCGAGAGAAGCAGTAGCAAGTCATATAATTGTTGTAGCTCTTTCGAATTAATGAAAGAAATTATAAAATAAATAAACTAAATAAACTAATAACTGTGCATTTAAATTGCTTAAACCTGAAACTAATAAACTTATATCATTTAAAGAAATGGTTACAATAAGGGAGCATTGTTCGCAAAATAAACTTTTTTTGTGTTTGTTAATCACAACGTAAAGGTCAGTGGTATAATCATAAAAAGCCAATAAAGTGGTGACATATAATAACGACACGGAAAACCGAATATAAAATTGTTGATTTTTTGTTCAACGTATAAAACGCCAAGATTAGGGATTATATCTATAAACGGGCCTTATTCTACCTCTTAAATTTATTCGTTACCCATTAACCCTACAGAAAGCCGAATAAAGTTTAGATAAAGTAAATATGTAAGCAACATTAAATAAATCTGATTAATTATTTTGAAGAAAATGCAATATTCAAACATGTCTTAAATTCGCTTTTTAAAATTATTTTTAGATAATAATGAACAAATTAATTTTGTTTTATAAATTAAAGAAAGTCTAAACTGAAATATCGATTAAAATGTATTTTGCTTTTTCTCATTATAGATTACGCACCAGTATCGGTTAACTGGCGAACGCGGTCCGGCACATTGCAAAACCTTTACAGTAACCCTTAAACTGGGTGAGGAAGAGTATTCGGCGGATGGATTTAAGATCAAAAAGGCACAGCATTTGGCAGCCTCCAAGGCGATAGAGGAGACCACGTATAAACATCCGCCGCCCAAGGTGCGGCGCAATGATGAAATTAACCCGTCTCGGACCCACATTACGCCCACAGTAGAGCTCAATGCTCTGGCAATGAAGCTTGGTCAGCGTACCTATTATCTGCTGGATCCCACCCAAGTACCGCCTAGTGATACCATGCTGACTACGGATAGTTATGGGGCCTCACTGCTTCCCACGCCGCCATCCGCTGGCTTGGTGCAAGCATCAGGGCCACCGCCCTCAAATCACGTTCCGTACGCCATGCGTCGTAATGGCAACTATATGGTACCGGCGCCTCCCATACATCCGCATTTGGCGCTGCAGCCGCATCGTGGAATCTACGGCCATCAGCGAACCTTCACGCCCAAATATCCGGCTCGGTATGCGCTTCCACCACCGCTCGGTGGGCACATGATGCACGGACCACATGGTCCCTTTGCCCCACTGCCCGTCACGCCCAGCAAGATAACACTGTTCGTGGGCAAGCAAAAGTTCGTGGGCATAGGACGCACGCTTCAGCAGGCTAAACATGATGCAGCAGCACGAGCGCTGCAGGTGCTGAAGGCCCAGGCAAACAGCTCCACGGAAGAGGCATTGGATGACTCTATGGATGAGGGTGATAAGAAATCTCCCATCTCGCAGGTGCACGAAATCGGCATCAAACGCAACATGACGGTGCATTTCAAGGTTCTCCGGGAGGAGGGACCGGCTCACATGAAGAATTTCATAACTGCTTGTATTGTGGGCTCCATAGTGACCGAGGGCGAGGGCAATGGAAAGAAAATTTCGAAAAAGCGTGCCGCGGAGAAGATGTTGACTGAACTGCAAAAACTGCCGCCATTGACTCCCACCAAACAAACCCCTATGAAGCGCATTAAAGTGAAAACACCCGGCAAAGGCGCTGCAGCAGCGGCAAGTAATGGCCAGGGAGCTACTGCTGCCACGCCCCCAGCGAAGGGCGAGCGACGCAAAAGAGCGAGTAATACAACTAAGGAGAAGACTGTGGAACTGGACGATGCGGAGAATCCAATTACGAAGCTCATACAATTGCAACAGAACCGCAAGGAAAAGGAGCCCATTTTCGAACTAGTGGCCAAGAATGGCAATGAGAGTTCCAGGAGGCGGGAATTTGTAATTGAAGTATCCGCCAATGGCAACACAGCACGTGGGACAGGCAACAGCAAAAAGTTGGCGAAACGAAACGCAGCGCAGGGTAAGTCACAACCCATTTTATTAAAAGTAAAATCTAATCGTTTTCCTCTTGATATAAACAGCACTCCTGGAATTGCTAGAAAATACGGAAAATGTTCCCAGCTCGGAAGCAGAGCATGTCATAGAAAATGATTCAGCAGCAGCCGTAGCCCCCCTCCCAGCCATTGAATCTGTTGCTGGGCTAGATGTACCAATGGTTTCAACACCAGCAGGACCCGTTCCCGGCATATTAATATTACGACAAAACAAGAAAGGTAAGTGCGCCACCAAATCTTATGAATTCAAGAAATATATTTGTATATAATTTCCCTCAAGCAGCTAAGAAAAAGGACATTTCGGCAATTGTGAAAAACAACGTGGAGCTCAAAGAAGAAGCTATAGTGGAGGCCACAACGGCAAAGACGGCAACCTCGACGATAGCTATAGCGGATGAGTCTAAGGATAATACCAACAATGAGTCTAATCCACCCGAGGCTACAACTGAGAGCGTACTCAACACCTCCACGGGAAGCAACACGAGCGGCGTGAGCAGCAATAGTAGCAATGCAACTGGCAGCAGTAATGGCAAGAACAACAGCAGCAACGCTGGCAATTCCTGCAGTAGTACGAGCGGAAATAGCGGTGGTGCAGTTGGCGGTGGTGTGCACATGAAGGAGCAGCTATTGTATTTAAGCAAACTTCTAGACTTCGAGGTGCGTTTTCTTATAATCTATTGACAGAGCTTGCTGCATTTACTTCTCAGTAAATCAAGCAAATTACATTTGAATGCCTTAGGTTTTGACGCTACAACTGAAAACTATCGCCAGCAATTCAATTTCTTCAAATCTACATAAAATTGGATTGGATTTAGAAGTTCGCTACAATATGCATTATTCGAAATGTTGAACCATTACACAAAAAAGCTGTGAAATTAAAAATGGAAAAAAGTTAAAGAAGCCTGATCCAAAATGCTTACTAGAGACGATTTAATTTTCATGCAACAATATTTTTTTTAAAATAATTTATTTTATTTTCCTAATGTAGTTCCTAGCAGTCTTAGAAAATGGGGACTTTAGAAAGCGGTAATGAGTGATGAAGAAAACCGCTTAAGTGTAGTTGAAATGCTATAACTGATGTCGAAACTTGTCTTACACAATGTTTCAATCCGGCTTTTAAGTACATTTTGTGTATCAAGGGGAATCGAAATGAATTTAAAACTGATTCAATTCCTATTCAACTAAATTCAATTCCACAATGTTTTGAAAATGTTGAGTAGCATTCATTCAGTCCCTAAGGAGGGTCTTATAGTACTTGACACTAGTGTCTGGGTACAATTCGCATGCTTAAATTTAATGAGATAAGTAATCTTTATTTTTTATCATATTTTAGGTAAACTTCTCCGATTATCCGAAAGGCAATCACAACGAGTTCCTCACCATTGTTACACTCTCCACTGAACCGCCACAGATTTGTCATGGCGTTGGCAAAAGTTCAGATGAGTCGCAAAACGATGCAGCGCGCAACGCATTGAAAATTCTCAGTGAGCTCGGCTTGAACAATGCTAAAAAATAAAACAAAAAACGCAGTTCTTTGTTGCCATCGCTCGTAAATACCCGTCCACAAAAGCTAAAAAAAATGTCAAAAAAAAAACATGAAACTTAAAACTGAACCTGTGTGCAAAATTATACAAGAAATTGAAATACGCAAAATATGAAAAATATCTGCACTTGTACTATTTTGAAATAGCAAATTATTAGTTAATAACTATTTATTTATTTATGTGTGACAGCGGGCACAGTGGATTTAATATTGCTGAATTTAACATTGTGCCAACTGTTGTTATTATATTTATTTATTTGTTGTTGAAGTTGAAGTTGATAAATGAAGCAAGAACATAATACAATACCCAAAACATTTACGAAATAGTCTTATAGGAAGAGTACTTGTTAACGCATTATTGAATTATATTGATGAACGAAGCTCAAAACCAGCGTCATACTTATGTATACAGGCGGCAGGTCAGACTCTTGTGCTTCCGATGAGTGGCAAGCGCTTGAAAAAATAAATGGAAAATTTATTGCCCAGTCATAATGGAGATAAAGATATTGGTGAAATTTTGTATTTATTTATTTTCAAAGTCAACAAAATGTAAACAAGAAGCTACTAAACAGCAACAGGAACACTGTGCTGGCATGTCTGATGGAACTCGGCTAATAATGAATCTATTTTAATATTATTCTTAAGCTGCATTGAATTAACGATGCATACAATAACAAATTTCAAACGAACAAACAATGTAGTTTTCAAAATGCGCCGACCAATGTGTGTGTGTCTGGCGTGTTTTCATAAATAAGTTGTTGCGTTGCTGAAATTTGTTAGGTATTGCTGTACAATTTATAGCAATGCACAAAATTTACCGAAGTGAAGATAGAAATCATAATTATAAGTGGTAGAGTTAAGCGATTGCTTTGTGGTTTGAGTAAAAGTGTTGCTATAAATTGTGGGCACATTGATGTTTTTCTTAAGTCATAAAATACAATTTGCATAATCGTCATTATTCTAATTATAAATGTTTAAAAATCCTTTTGTAAATGTTCAGATTTTTGCCATGCTACCTATACCCTGTACACAAAAACTTCAAACGCTACATTTAACCGAAGTCGACCTAGTCGCATCTGACGGCTATTTATTTACTTGCGAACTCCCACTATATTCCAGCAAATTCTTTTGAATTGTTTTATGCTCCAGAAATGCTACAGGGTATTCTATTGTGTAGTGCGCCCATTTCTGCGAAAAACTGAACATATTTATGAAAAAAGCGCGTGTTGTTTAAATGCTTCATGTCCTCTATTTATCCTATTGTAGCTTGTTTTGTATTACTCTTAAATGTTTTATTGCCTGCACCTACACAACGATTTTTTGTATTTGAATATCACACATTAAGTGAAATTTGTACAATAGTATTAATGTTTTTTTCTTCCACACAATAGCACATACACTCCCAGACACTGACACACTCATATACCCACGCATATATTTATATAAAAATAAAGAAAACACACGCCAATTAAACAGCACATTAAGTGTTAAGTTGCATTATGTAAAATGTATTTTGTCTAAGCAAAAAACGAAAACAACCAAACAAAACGTAATCATTGGCGGCAAGGCCTTTGATGTCCAGATCGACGCGCCTTCAGCAACAATGTGCATGATTTGTTACGACTAAACATAACATAAGCATACCTATACATAAATTTAACTTATTAAAAGTCACACCCAGTATTAAAGTATACTAAAATTAAACATAACCCCCACACACTATCATTGTGCACATTGTTCGCATGCGTGTTTATTTTGACAGAAGATTTTGCAAAAGACCAAAAAGTTTGCCTAAAAACAATTTTTCAAAAATGCATGCTTTGCAAAATCTTCTCAAAATTCAAAAAACAAAAGAGAAAATCAACTATTTTCTTATTAGAATTACTAAGTATAAAAGCGCGTTAAATGTACTGTGCGAGAAGTTTGCGCTCGGTGCGTAAAAAATAATCGAAATAAATGGGTGGGTAACCACACTTTTATTTAGTAGTTGTAAGCCAACATCAATAACACGTGCTAGTGTTAGTCTTAAAGAAGGAACACTGTTTATGTTGTCTATTTACCATTTACCCTGTCTATTGTGCGCCAGCATACTAGTATGTTATTTCCATAAAGCAAGACATTACGATTATAATTATGTACAATGTATCGATTGAAATAAAAATTGAAATAAAGCTACAGAAATGCAAAAAGCCACTCACTTTTCACTTATTTTAAAAACTTAATATTAAAAACAAAAAGACGAAGACGGATTGGCATATTTTTAAAAATGTTTGATATACATCATTATAACAAATATGCCTTTCAAGCATCATATTATGTCCGCAAATAGACACTCGTATTATTATTTATGACCGTAATAACCCAAGCCCTGCCCCCAAAATGCGACACAATAGCCAATGGGCAATAGGCTAATCAAAGCAACGCAGCGCTTACATAAATATCATAAAAATTAGTGAAAATTATTTTCTAAACCCACAACAGAGATCGAGTGACAGACGTGAGACATCAAAGTCCGAAATGCTTGTTAATTTGGCAGCATTTCGCAAGTTCCGATCAAAACTGTAAACCGTTCACAAACCTAATAAGTCTCTAATCTACAGTCAGGCGATGACTAATCAATCGCCTAATATTTATGCAAACAAAACAGAGGGCTACTAAATTGTATACTTTTATTGCAACGCGATCGAAATAAAATCAATTAGTTATACACACGTATACAAACAACTACGGGTCGACTGGCTCCTTTCGAATGCGGTCGCAACCTCAATTATGACATTTTCCACAACAACATTTTCAATAATAAAATGGTCCTGTAGGCCAAAAGCAGACCTAAAAATGGAAATTAAACAAAAAAAAACATGTTTTACTGCGCCTCCGCGCTCTCTGAAGCTTTAATTGCAGCGTCCACTTTCTCCGCTGGCATTTTAGTTTGCCGGCTGGCCGACTCACTGGGCTGGGTCTGGGTTTGGGCCAATCGTAAGAGTTGTATGTTGATGCGGCAAATGCATAATAAAAACATAAAATTAAATTAATGCTTCGCTTGCACACATCGCTACATGTTTGTGGAGTGTATGCGGCCCTCAAAAAAACACCCGGCAAAATCAAAGCGTTTCCGTGCTCTTCCCATTTGCATATGCATTTCTATTGGGACCTCCGTTCCCGTTCCCGTGTCCGTGTCCCTCCCCTAACTGAAGAGTTCGCCGATCGGCGCAATTCGCTGTCGCCATGTGTTGATTAATTTATAGCTCTGATAATAATCCGGCAGAGTAGTGTGTGCATGTATTATGAAATTTGATTTGGAGTTTTGGCGTTGTTGCCAAAAGAAATCCATAATACACATGTGCGTATGTGGAGAAAGAAACTAAAAGAAATAAAATACAATTTGAGACTAAATTAACATGTGTTTGTCAGCGCGCTGTGTGGGTATCTATGAGATACAAACAGACAGAGAGACAGACATACATACCTGTATGCGTGTGATGTAATGAGCGTTTGATTTTAAAATGCCATTGAATTTGGGTTTTGGTTTCGGTTTCGGTGTTAGTTTTTGGAATTTTTTGCTATTGGCAATTGGTAGCGGAAATGAAGTTGTGCAGCTCACACACTCAATTAGATAGTTGGATGCATTAGCACAAATATATACGTGCACTTATATAAGCCTCATTTACATACAAATTCAAAATATTAATTCATTGGAATGCCAATAAATAAAAATTCAAAAATGACGCGCATATTTATTTAAATGATTATAAACGCTTATAAAACTATATCTGTGCGATATTTCTTTTCTACCGGCCTGCCGGTTCACATGTTCACCGTCAATGTAAATGTCAACAATACTCGTACGCGTTTAAAAGGTTACCAAATGTGTTTTATGTTAAATCAGTGCATGGAACGTGGAAGTGGACGCGGGGTGGCGTGGCGTGGCGTGGTTGGGGTCAAGTGGTTGTTGGCGGCATATAATACGAATACGCGTGTCTTACTATACAAGAAAGTGAAACTCTTTCACATATTTTGATTACAACATTGGCATGAGCGTCCATATGTCTGCCTACCTGCCCGCCTGCTAGTCTACCTTATCTTGTTTTTTTTTTTATTTATATTCAATGTCAGCTTCGGACGGTTTTGAAAACTACTGAGCCGAGCCATGTTTGACATGAATTTAGAAGCAAACGCCCATCAGTCTCAAGCTACTCTTCTTGTGGGAATTTCAAGACAAGGGAGAAGAAGGTAGTAGCTTTCAGGTAGCCAATATTTATTTTAAGCTTATTGTTTGAAAAAGAAAATAAATGAATTTAAACACTCTGCCGATTATAAAAATTGGCTTTCAGTTGCGTGCCCACACATGTTTTTTAATGTTTTTATGTTTGGAGATGGCATTCATATACAAAATCGGAGTCTGCGATGTTTATTTATGTGTGCGCTGACAAAGAATACACATGTACGTAGCTTCATATACATACATATGCACACTTTATATGTATTGGATTGGGCTTAAAGCATTTTTTAATGTGAGCACATTTGCATATGATTTGCCTGCTACATAAATAATTGAAGCCCCCTGAGGCCCAGTGGCACGCGAATTGTTGCTAGACTCCAACAAAAGCGATGTCTGATTCAAACTATAGCTGATAACCAATCATTTTATAATTGCTGGAAAGTTAGACAGCAAGTCTCAACGCTTTTTACAAGCTGATGATATCTAAGCACATATACTTAGAACGCAAGTTTTAAATCTCTTTCGGACTTCATTAACCTAACCACCTAACTGCTTCATTATTAAAATTTGATCATGATAGGTTTATGTTGAGATGAGAGCACTACAAATTAAGATTAAGGATTAGCTAGGCATTTGGTATGTAATGCAGTAGGTTAGGGCATAGGCCTAGGGAAAATGGTATAATATTGTCAGTGATATGATAAAAACTCCTCATCGAACTCACGTACAAAACTACGAGTATGTGTATCGGCCAATGCAATGTTCTGGCAAACAATATGCAAATTTGCCTAATAATAGACTCAACCATCTTTTGTGGCTAGAGACCTGCAATTATGATTGTTAAATTGTGAGCCGTACCCAGTAATTTTGTTGACACGTGCAGGAAGCAAAATGAGCGCCCACATCATCAGGAAACCGAAAGCGAAACGGAGACCGAAATGAAGCCGCACGCCTCAATAATTGGCCGCAGGTGAAATATCACAGCATTATGTTTGCAAGAAACACAAAACGAAAACAAATGATGCGTAAATTTGTGTATTATAGAGCAAAATAAATATCAGTTTATAAAAGTTGGAGTTCTTAATTAATAATGCGTGTATGCTAACACAAAAGGCGACTTGAAGAACGCACTTCAGCCCAACACTTGGCCAACTGCAAAGC